CACACACACACACACACACACACACAGACACACACACACACACGTACTCACACAAACACACTCACACACAGAGAGAGAGAGGCTTGAAATTAGCAGCATCTCATAACAAATGCGACGTGAGTCATCGAGCCAGACGGGACGTGATCTATCCGTGGAGCGGCGTGTGTGTGATTACGTGTCAGATTTAAGAGGAAAACAATATCCATTCAAGAGCGGCGTCTCCATTAGTCTGATTCCTGAGGTGCTGTCAGTCCCAGAGTCCTCGTCTCAAATCAAATGGGAGGCGATCAATGCAGCATTAAAGAGAGAGAGAGACGCTCCAAATACGGGAAAAGCATCCTAATGACTTCCACTGCTAGAGGAAAAATGCTTTAATTAAAATAGATTTGCCTGTTTTGATATAAAAATTCATTCCCAGAGCTTCTGTCTTTCCTGTATTAGCGTCAGCCAGCTGTTATCGAGCGCCGGTCGCTTTTACGAGGGCTGATTCTGCTGGTTTTATTCTCTAATAAAGTGCGGTAGTGATCGCACACCATCTCGGCCCATTATTCCCTCCATCGAGATTTCAAACAATCCTCAATAAAGAGCTCTAACCAACCAAACCCAGCAGAAGCAGATTACAGCATTTCATTCAGCAGGTGAATGAACGATGAAGCCATGCAACCAAAACCACCTACACCTCAATCACTATGAGCATAAAAACCATGAATTGTGACGTTTAATTGCAAAATATTCAAATATACACAGACATAAAAGCAGTTTGAGAGCAATCTGCAGTGGTGCAGATCTCAAATAAATCTCAATTTCAAAAAATTTACCCTTAAGACTGGTTTTGTGCTCCAGGGTCACAAATAGCAAATATCATCAGTAACCTCAGCCTAGAAATGTAAAAGAATGGCATTTTTACTTCTAGAACCTAACAGTGCTCAAATATATTCAATGACATCCATTAAAAACCAATACAACTTGATCTTCCAGAAATCGTGCAGATTTAGAGCATCAAATCATCAGATGAACGCAATCTATTTCTAAAGCTAAACTGCCCGTTAAACAGATAGATGTCGGGTAAATACTTGTTAAATCAGCCAGAATCCCTCTAAAACATCAAATCATCAGGTAAAACCCCATTAAATCTGGCTCTTCAGACACAGAACCCTGCGGTGGATCTGCTGTCAATGTGTGCTGTGAGATAACTGTGTTCCTGTAGGCTTAATTAAGACCTTTCAGACCTTTTTAAGAAGATTGAAGGAAACACAATACGTCAATATGCTTTCTCAAGGTAAATGTCTAGAGAGCAGACAATAAGTTGTATTGACAACACTCTACAGTTTGAAAATGCAACTTACAACAGATCTCCGTCACTTTTTAATTCATTTTACAAAAAAAAAAAAAATAATGCTAAAAGCTTGAATATCTCTGATTCAATCTACTAGACTAACTTTTAACGTAACGTCAGACGCAAAAACGTGATGCTGTTCAGTATTTTTTCTTGTTTCAAATGTCTAAAGATTCTTAAATCAAGATTTACTTGAGGAGCAAACAAATTAAGACTTAAGATTAACATTTCCAGAGAAACTGAACAAAACGAAGTGAGATTAAAACAATGGGGTCAGAAAATAAACTTAATTTTTATACCATTGACAGATATTTTTCATGTTTTAAGCATAAAGTCACTTCATTTTTGTTCAAAACATCCCATCTTCATTTTGCATCTCAAGCAAATGTTTCTTGATTTAAGGATGTTTAGATATTTGCACTTTTTTTGTAGCGTATGCATTACATTTAATTAATTTAAGATGTTCTGGTCTGATTTAAAACCTTTTTAAGGTCTTTGTTTGTGGGTGAATTGAGACTTTAAGCGCTTTTTAAGACTTAGAGGAACCCTGGATAACTTTAAGGCTGTAGATTCCGATCCCAGACGTGTTGCTTCATAAACCTCAGACGAACACTGAAGAAGACTGTCCTGAACGTGACCCTGCTGAAATAAACCACCTAAACCAGCCTGATGTGATTAAGCAGACCGGTCTGTTCTGATGGTTTTAGAGGGGTTTTTGACACGGTCAGACTGAGAGATCCGGTGTAAAATGAAGAATAACTGACCCAGAGTTGCTTTTGTAATTCACAAGGCCATTGAGAAAACAAGATTATTTTCATTATTCTTGTTTTAAGCAAAAACTCACTTAATTTTGATACATTTATCAGACAATAAGACTTGATTTCTCAAGTCATTTTGCTTCAAGTAAATGTATCTTGATTTAATTCTCATAATGCATTCATGTCCGTTTTGATCCAGAAGAGATTCATAAAAAATCTAAATAAAAAGCATAGTTTTTAGTAAGGGAATGAAACTTTGCAAATGCATTAAGAACCTCAAAAATACACATCATTTTATTTTCTACAGATTTTTTAACAATTATTTTTTAAGAGATATAACTATTTTTAAAAAGTTGCACATTTTGGATGTATTATTCTAAGATCACAAAGCCATTGTAATAAATGTTGTGATAAAATGTAATCAAATAAACTTAATTCAAAGAGAAAGTACGATTATTTTCTCGAACCCCATTGGCAGATATTTTATTATTCTCGTTTTGAGCAAAAATACAAATTATTTTTTTCATAATTTTTGAGTCACGCTTGGTACCTTTGTGGTCAAAAGTGACCGAAGACTTGAAATGTAATAGGGTTTTTTTGTTTTGTTTTTTCTTCAGGAAAATCAATGTAATAAATTTGCTTAATAATATTTTTTGATTATTATTTAGATTTTCGAAGGGATTTTATAATACTATGCAATATTTATACAATTTTTATGAGCATGTTTTTTCCACAGTCAATTTTGAGCACGAAGCTACCAAGTGATGCTTTTTTTTTACTTTTCGCCCCTTTAACATATCCGAATCATGTCCGTGATTTTTTTGTGTGTTCACAAACCCAATGTGACAAAATGCACCAAATGTCATCCCACTGTGATAAAGCAACAATTTTTAAAAATTCAAAAGGTAAAATTTCTCGGTCAGTTTCGACCAAAGTGGCCCATTGAGGAGACCATTGAGAAGCTTGACCTCCATCAACACAGATGAATCAAGCAATGAAGCATGAAACACCACTAATGGATCAGTAATTGATCAATGCGATGGTCTCACCCGGCGGCACCCACGGGTCCAGCGAAGACTTTTCACTGGTGTCAATCTGTTCCCAGTCCAGGTCATCGTCTCGCCCTTGGCTGTATCCACACGACGAGAAGGGCTTCTCGAAGTCACAATCTCCTGCAACAAAAGGACAGACATTTATATTATTAGCGTGTTTCCCATTACCATGCTTGGAAATGAGTGAACGCATCTACTCCTTGCCCTCCTCCTCGTCACTAATGCAATATGCCAAACAACAGGAGCGCTTAAACCGAGATGGAGAGGGATTCGAAGAGAATGCACGGCACAACATACATTACCATCATTAACCGTGCCTCGTGCCAATTTCACAATGACAGAAATGAAGTGTCCAAACTCTATCATCGTTAAACGCTGGGCTGCCACCACGCCAGCGAGCATAAATGTGATTCATTTCACAGCGGTGTGCGACCAGACTTCCCCTTCACATCATCCGCCGTCAGCTCTCATTCATCCTAATTCTCCTCGCGGGACACACACTTTTAATGCACTTTTAATTCCTGCAATAAACAGAGGAGGTGTCTTTATGAACCCATTAAAAGTCAGCCATTTAAAGGTTTCTGAGGCTCTTCGACTGTCAAACATTGATGTTTTTGGTTGTACATCCCAACCAGACGGACTCAACCGTGAGTTCTGTGAGAGTTTGTTGTAGGACTATCTGTTGCACACTGCAAAAATATATTTTTTTACTTATTTCTAATATCTAAATATTCTTAAATCAAGATACATTTACTAGAGAAGCAAAACCACTTTACATGATATTGCATCTTGCTTTCTGAAAAATGCATCAGAATCATGTGAGTTTATGCTTAAAACAAGAACAAATATCTGCCAACGTGGTCAGAAAAATTAATTAATAACTTAATTCAAAGAAAAAACTATAATTTTTCTGTCCCCATTGGCAGATATTTTATTATTCTTGCAAGTGAGCAAAAACTCACTTAATTTGGATAAATTTGTCAGAAAATAAGAATTAAGTAATTTTTCTTAAGTCGTTTTGTAAATATAAATGTATCTTGATTTAACCCGCATAACACATTCAGGTCCGTTTTGACCTGGAAGAGATTAGTAAGGGAATGAAAAGTTGCGAATGCTTTAGGATATGGTTTCCCGCAAAATACACATCATTCATTCATTCATTATTTTATTTTAGTTTATTTTTTTCCCCCAGATTTTTACAAATAAATTTTAAGATATATATCCTTTAAAAAATTTTATATGTTTCGTGTTCGGGTCATTTTGAACCCGAGTATGTATGGAGTACAATTAGTGTCAAAATAGTTTTAGAAAATTATACACGGAGTTATATTAGTGTCAAAAACTTTGTAAAATATATTTAGCCTTTTTCCCATTTCTCACACAGTTTTAGATTGAATTTTGTTGATGAACATGAATATGTATGCCTACTGACCACTGCAGCATGAACAAATTATCACTTTTTTTCATTTGCAAGTAAAATGAGTTTATTTTATTCAGACTAATATTTATGATGTTTTGTTAGAAATAAATATGTAGGTTTCATAAATTTGGACTGTTTTTGAGCAGTCATGAGGAATTTTATTAAACTTCATTCATTCTGCTAATTCTCTGATTATTTGTTCTTATACATTTAAATCAAATTTCTCATAAAAATTTAAAAACAATATATATATATATATATATATATATATATGAGTAAAAATCGGCTTTGGCGAGTATATGAAACTGTGTCAGTCGCCAGATGACCGGTAACATTTTTATAAATTCTAACAGTGCAATGTTGTGAGAACATAAATGTGCACAAATGTGAACGGCGCTCTGTACAGTTGACGGGTCAGTGCTGCTCCATCACAAAAGTTTAAGCCTTTGCAATGTAAATATTTAAGAGCTAGAACATACGAAAAAAGAGCTCTGCTTCGTTCCTGCGCTTGAACGGACAAATTCACACTAAATTATGTCAAAAATGCCTGTCTCGATGAGAATCCTAGTAAAAAGACTAATATTTATGATGTTTTGTTAGAAATAAATATGTAGGTTTCATAAATTTGGACTGTTTTTGAGCAGTCATGAGGAATTTTATTAAACTTCATTCATTCTGCTAATTCTCTGATTATTTGTAGACAATAGAACCCATTATAATCAGTGATATTGTCTACACAGGATGTGGCGCGGCGCAACACGACAAATCGCCGAAAGTAAACGGATTCCATTTCTGAAATAGCACTTCGCAACAGCCGCTTTGTCGCATCTTCAAGCTGCTGCGGTGTAGACACGGTGTTAAAGTGACAGACACAGAACTCCAATAATCCTGCTGTTGTCTTTGTTTTTAATGTTGATCAAAGAAAACAGAACAAAGAAAAAAACAATCACTCACTGCTCTTGAACTTTAAAAAAAGATATAAAGACTAGTCTTATTTGATTAGCATAATTTATTAAATTTCTGTAGGCTACCTGAAAATCACTCTTAGACCTGCCCTGAAATGCACCGTTTCCATTTGTATCTTTGTTGAATAGTAGGCTATGTTGTGCTATTGCTTGTAATTTGATTTGCTCTTATTTTACAACTGTTGGAAGGCCGGCGTTGTCATCCCATAGACTTAAGCATTGGTACTTATTTATATATAAAATAATTTAAGTTTACTTCCTTCGTATTTACAGCAGAATATCTTTCAAAAAGTTGTAAAGAATTATGGGCTTCGCTCACAAGACTATTATCTTTTAAGCATCCCTAAAGTTCGTACAAACTTTAAGTTCGTACAAACAGCATAACTAAACGGCCATTTAGTTATGCTGCTCCATTTGATTGGAATCAACTATTAAATGTGCTGCCTATCTTGGCCAGGACCCTCTTGTAAATGAGATTTTAAATCTCAAGAGTTTTTCATTTCCTGGTTAAATAAAGGTAAACTAAACTAAACTAACTGAATATTTACTAGTCTTTAAAAATTTAGCCTATTAAATTTATACTTGTTATGCTTCAAGAAAACAGAATTTTGTAAAATAGACAAAGTTTAGAATTTAGTAGAAACTAGTAAAATGTGAGGTTAAAAAAGATAAATGAACAGTAACAAAAATACAGAGATGTAATTGATCAAATTCATTATATAAGGTATTATAATTATACATTATTATATTTGTATATTTTATTGTGTGTGCATAAAATACTGAAATGTAATTTATGAAATTATTCTTTGTATTATACAAAGAATAATTAGCCTATTAAATTTATACTGGTTAAGCTAGTAGTTTTAGCAGGTATCGAAACTGGAATCAAGGATTGTGATTTTTTGCTATTATCTTAAATTTTGGTGTCATAACTGCCTGATTTTTTTTTTTCCGTGGCTGGTAAAAAATATTTCTGGCTGGTAAATTTCCTTAAGTCATCGACCACTAGCAGGTCTGGCAGAAAGTTAGTTTTAGGCCATATATATATATGTATTGTATATATATATATATATATATATATTTCTTTGGTGTGGTTCATGTGTAATTTGAAATTTCAAAGAATTTCAAAATTTTTAATTACAAAAACTTTTAAACGGTTTCACATTCATTCATTATGAGAAGTTGCTGATTATATATAATGTGTATTTAATTGAAAAATATTAAGTTATGATGATTCTTCAGGTCTAAACGCACCCAGAATGCGAAAATAGCATACAGATTTTGAATGCATTATGAAGGATTTATAAACGTCTTTGTAAACTGGAGCTCGGACTGCTGCAGAACTACGACCAGCGTCCGAGTGAAATTAATGTTCAAGGCTGTAATTATGGGTAAACAAAAACGAACAGGTGCGAGAAAACGATTATCGGCACATTTTTAGCCCCGTCGCTTATGAGCGCTGCGCTGTGATTTATTCTGCGTGCGCTGAGTGCATCTGAACGACCCGACGCAAGACCAAAAGTTCTGTGCTCTCCTGAGGAAAAGGAAACTAATGGTGAAATAAATGAATATTTCAGGACGCGGTGCTGCAGCGCTCGCAAACTCACTGTAAATCAACACAGGAGCTGCTACACACACACACACACACACACACACACACACACAGATCAGCAATCAAACACACCCATTTAACACACACACACACCTTCCTCTGTGCACAAATGCACAATAATGCTTGCATAAACTGGAAAAACAGAAAAACACCTTTTACATATATTTATTCTTATTATATTTTTATGTTTATAGTAATATTCTTTATTTAACTGTATTTTTATTTGTATTTATAAAATTATGTAACTTTTATTATATAATTTACTATAATTAATAAAGTATTACAAATATATTTTTTATCTTTAATTACAATTAGGGTCAGATATAATATATATTATTTTATATATTATACGTTTGTTATAACATTTATTATAATAAAGTATTAAAATTATGTATATAAAATAATACTACTACTAATAATATTTTGCTTTGAAGAAAAAATTAACTATACTCCCAAAATCGGGCCCATCATGAAGTTGCTCACTAGTTAATGTTGTGAAAGCTTCTTCACGCTCTAATGACATGTTTGTGTTTTAATGTCCATATTAACATGTGTGTGTGTGAGAGAGAGAGAGTGTGTGTGTGTGTGTCTGTGTGAGAGAGAGAGAGTGTGTGTGTGTGTGTCTGTGTGAGAGAGAGAGAGTGTGTGTGTGTGTGTCTGTGTGAGAGAGAGAGAGTGTGTGTGTGTGTGTCTGTGTGAGAGAGAGAGAGTGTGTGTGTGTGTGTCTGTGTGAGAGAGAGAGAGTGTGTGTGTGTGTGTCTGTGTGAGAGAGAGAGAGTGTGTGTGTGTGTGTCTGTGTGAGAGAGAGAGAGTGTGTGTGTGTGTGTCTGTGTGAGAGAGAGAGAGTGTGTGTGTGTGTGTCTGTGTGAGAGAGAGAGAGTGTGTGTGTGTGTGTGTGTGTGTGTGTGAGATCAGCTGCTGATATATGGACACGTCAGTGTGTGATTCAGTCGTCAGGCTGTTAGTGTGTGATGTATGCGCCGAACGCAGCCTGTTTTAAAGCCCGCCGCTTCACTGATGACAGATATACTCCATTGTCTTCCTGCAGATTCATGCAGTAACTGTTATCTGATGATATATTCAGGCTTTTGTCCGCTTACACGAGCGAGAGGACAGCAGATTT